CATATAACCCACCCTTTAAGAAATCATGTAAGTACCAGCTGGGTACTCGGACACTTAGGCCAAAGAATGGCCAAAAGCCAGGGGAAGGGGCCCTTCTTTGGACTAGGGACTAGGGCTTAAGGTTCAAGGGGGTTTGGGCCGTAAGGTTCAAGGGGTTTAGGGTTTGGGTCTAAGGTTGAAGGGAGCTGTGGGGTTTGGGAAACAAGGCCTCAAAGGCGCTGAGAGGCAGTTTCCCGGAATGGGGTACATCATGATGGAGCTGTAGGGGTCAATCTGTGAGCTTTAAGGGAACGGTAGAAATCTTCAAGCTCTCATCTGGGGGGATTTTCGTGAAGGCCGACGACTCCACAGAATACTCCGCCGCCCTCGACCCCCACCCCGGGCCCTCAAGACTCAGAAATTGACATTGGTTTCCAGCTGCCAATCCCCCTCTTAGACTGTCCCTTCTCACACTCTGGACCATTCACAAAGCAAGATCTTTTTTGCCTGTCCATGGTATAACCCATCTTAAAACTAAGAAGCCCCTTCTTGCAGAGGTCCTTCCAAATCTGGCTGCAATGTTATGAGAGAGCCATCACGGGACTGTCTGCGTCAACGATTACTTGAGCAGCTTTTTGGTTGCTGAAACAAGTGGGATTATATCTCTCCTATAGAATACCATGCTCAAAAGGAAGATGCATGTTGGAGGCTACAAGGGGGTTTCCCATAATTACGTGTATCTTTTTGGGGGGTCCCAGTAATAAGGACTATAGTATATTGGGGTCTATATTGGGGTTCTCTATTAGGGAAACTAGCATAGTATCTCCACACAAACAGCTCGCTTGGAGTGAGTTCTTGCGAGGTGGTCATAGCGGCCAGCTTTTCCAAAATGGGGGGGGAGGGGCTTAGATAGCCTGGCGGAGTGTGGGGTCGGGGCGGTACTTTAAGTTAAAGGCACCCTCCCTTACACAAGAATAGGGGAAATCCCAACTATCCCAAACTGCGATCAAATACCGACTTTTGGAGATCAGAGAGCAGTATTCCGAACACCTAATCTCCAAATTGTCCCTGTAGAATGCTTCCTCACCACCTGCCAGTTTTAGTCAAGAAAACCGTTACCCTTATATATATATATATGTATATACATATAGGTTTAGGGTTCAGGTTTCATGAAGGTACTGTGCCCAGGATCTCGAGAAGCCACCCAAGCCTACAGGGTCCTAAGTATCCATACCTGCCCAAGCCAGAACTAAGGGAAGTTCCTACTACAGAAACCATGCTATGTTGCATGTAGGTGCCATGGACCTTGAACCACAAGCCCCCAACCCTAAACCCCTAAACCCTAAATCCTAAACTCTAAACCCTAAACCCTATATATCCCCATAGTACCCATAATTTAAAGGGACTAGGTACTTGGGACCCTCAGGGAAGTGACTGCGCCAGGGAATGCCTCGTCAGAAATGGACGGGAGGTGATGGGGATATCGCCAGAAATCTTCCAGCAGCGATCTGGCGCCGTTTAGGGTTCAGGGTTCAGGACTCAGGGTTCAGGGTTTAAGGTTTGGGGTTCAGGGGTTTCGGGTCTAGGGTTCAGGATTTAGGGTCAGGACTTAGGGTCAGGACTTAGGGTCTAGCGTTGTTCCTGCGCAGCCAAACAGGCCAGAAATAAAAGGGTGGCTCGCAAACAGCCACTTTTTCGTAGATCAGGGTCCTTACCTAGGAAGTGGTTTTTCGGGATCCACCATTTGATTTCTGGTTGTTTGGGTTCCCGGGTACAGGCTGTGGATTGAGGACTCAGGGTCTTGGGATGTCAGAATCTTGATCCGTATTTGTCTCTATATCTGGTAAACGTATCCCCAACCGGACACACCATATATGCCCTTGCCAGATTTCCTAAGGAACCCTGTATACACCCCAAAACCCGAAGCAGATTTCTACCTTATGTGGGGCTGAGAGTTTAATATATGGACTTGTTTCATTCAAAGAGGAGTTTGGGGTGCAAACGCCCACTCTCAGTATTGTGTACAGGTTCTTAAGCTCCTTAAAGTTATACTGGGAAAATATATTGAGGCATCTACAGTGAAGAGCTTGAGGGTGTAGGGCTGAGGCTTTTCGGTCTGCCGCCTGCGCCTGTAGGCTCGAGGGCAGCAATAAATGAAATTACACCTGCAAGGAGGTGCACATAGTTACAGAAGTATACATCAAGTCTCAGAACTACTGCTTACAGCACTGAAAACCAAACTTCATCCTAGTATAACCCAACTTATGACTGCGGGGCCCCTCTTTGTGGCACACCCCGAAATGGCCCCAAAAGGCCCTCGGCCCTGGAAGGTCTGGGAGGGAGGGTCTGGGAGGCCCTGGGAGCGGCTTTGGGTGTTGGCTTTCAAGGTGCCCGGCTGGCAGGACCTCCAGGCCGGCTCAGGAAATCCCGAAGATGCGGTGGATACCAAAAATCCTGCATGACCCTAGGTACCTTAGACCCTGGGAATTATGGGACTATAGTACATTTAGGTCATGCAGGATTTTTAGTATCGATAGTAGCAGCAGCAGCAGCAGCAGCAGCAGCAGCAGGACAAGCCTGGCAAGCCTCTCAAGGACAGTTGGCAGGCTCTGCATGCCATGGTCTCGCTGGCGCTCGACACGCCCATTCGCCTTTAGAATGAGAAGGGTGGTGGGGTTTCAGGGCGGAGGGTTTAGGTCCTGATAGAGGGGGTCCCCAAGATGTGTTTGAACTTATCCCCCTTTCATGCCTTGCCCGAAGAATCCCCACAGAGTCCTTGGCTATATCCCTACCCTAAACCCAGAGAACCTTGAACCCCAAACCCTGAACATGAAGCCCCCAAACCCTAAAGCCCTAGACCCTAAGTCGAGGTGCACGTTCTGAAGCTTTGACCACCCCAAATTCAAAATCCAAATGTCCAAAATCTACAACACCAGAAAGGTAAAAGGACCACTATCTTCCAGAGGAATCTGCAATAAGCTCACACATACCAGGAATTACAACAAGCTCATGAATATTCAAAACCCGAAGGCCTAAAACCTACCCCCCGCCCCCCAAGTCACATACACACTTGAGCTATAGTCTAAACTCCTAGTATCCCCCTTCGTAACCCCTATAGTAGTGCCCTACATAACCCCCTATATGTATAGCCCCCTTTAAGGAGTTTAGACCCTAAACTCTAAACCCTATATAGCCCCCCTAGATGGCCCCCCTTTAAGGAGTTTAGACCATGGCTCGACGTGATCTCAGGCGCTCACACGGCCAAATGCCAAAGGCCGAGGTCACTCCAGCTTTCCATGGCCTACAGGAGCTTTTTCAAAGGGTTATGGTCCCCCTTAAGTAGATAGAATATAGGGTTTAGGGTAGGGTTTAGGGATTAGGGTTTAGGGTTTAGGGTTCTAATCTCCCTTAAGTAGATAGAACGTTTGAATACAGGGGTTATATAGGGATAATGGAAAAGAAAATGGAAACTGTTACTTAGGGTTTAGGGTTTAGGGTTTAGGGCTTATAGTCCCCCTTAAGTAGATAGAATATGGGGTATATGGGGATCTTATCATGATATACCCAAAGCCCTGTTCTGATCTACTTAAGGGGGACTATGAAGGTTTAGGGTTTGGGGATAAAGGGCTTGGGCTTCGGGGCTTTGGGGTCTAGGGATCACTATGAACAACCCAGCCCCGACACCCCCATCAACCTTCAATCTCTCCCCCTACATCCTATCAACCCTTTAAACGAACCTTAGCCAAAAAAAATCCCCCTTTACCCCACTTCGGTCCAATGAGGCCCCAAGGAGGTGGCTCCGGAGGCAGATCCACTGAACCCTCCAAAATCTCTTCGCGAGTCGGCTCATCCGTAGGCCTTCCAGGATCTGCTGACATACTCGTTGCTTTAAACCCGAAAAAAATGGTTTCCATGCTCTGTTCCACTATCCCTGGATGACCCCGTTGTGTACCCTATGATAATGTGGCAGTGTTAAGGGCCAGTGGTACAATTTGGCGGTGGGAAGCGAAGTATAGCACAAGAACAAGTCGTATTAGAGGGCAGCAGCAATAGCAGTTGTTGTTGTTGTTGTAGGAGCAATAGGAACAGAAGTAGTAGCAGCAGTGTCAGCAGTGTCAGCAGCGTCAGCAGCATGGGCAGCATCAGCAGCAAGAAGCAGCAGCAGCAGCAGCAGCAGCAACAGACGTAGTCAGTAGTCGTCGTCGACATCGTCAGCGTAGCAGGTCATCGTCGGCATAACAGCAGCAGCAGCGGCGGCAGCAGCAGCAGCCAGTACTAACTAGATTAGAACTGGTAGCAGTATTGAATGCTGCTGTTTCCGTAGTATATAACCCTATATAACCCCATCCTACATACCCCTATATATCCCTATGCCACCCTACATACATCCGTATATACCCACATTTACCCTATGTCATTACCCACACATATCCCCAAATGACCCCATATAACATCAGCCCTACACCCTAAACCCTAAACCTAAAACCCAAAACCCAAATGCCCCTATGGTCCCAGCCTGAGACCCTCTGTGATGGCGGGCTCCCTGTCGATCATGGTTGGACAGCCTGTTGCAAGCAACTGGACTCTATGTCCACCATTGCTAGGGTTTGGGGTTGAGGGCTGGGTTAAGGGTTTTCAGGTTGATTATGCAAGGGTTATATAGGGCTTATTATTGTATTATGGGGATTATGTATGGTTTAGCAGGATATTACCCCAACAGTAGAGACCCAAATAGAAACGAAAATGGAAGATGAAATCTGGGGTACATGGGGTTTGTAGGGTACAGAGCACCTACGAAACTTTTGTAGCTGAAGTCGTCACGAATCCTGGGACATGAATGTGGCCCTGAACCTCGATTCTTCACTGAAGCCAAATCCTTCCCTAAACCTTAAACCCTAGAAACTTTTGATACCGCAAGGACTACCGCCTCGCTCCGCGTTTCTCTTTAGCAGACCCCCTTGGCCCTAAATCCCAACTCCTGAACTGTGTAGAAACAAGTAGGATGCAGCTCAAAATGGAACAGCGCATACGTGACCTCAAATCCTGTGCTCAAGCATCCAGCGGAACCCTTGCCTGCGATTTCGTCATCTGGATTGTTGCAGCCATCAGTGGAACATGACTTCAGCACCTGGCCGTTGGTGATCATGGTGTAGGTGCTGGTGCTCAAGTTCCGCGTTAGCTCCTGCGGCAGCATCTACTTACACCAGATGCCGGGCCTACTAATGCACACAGAGATATCTAGGGAATGGCTATGATACTCCCCTGTGTAACCCCCTTTAAGGACTTGATTTAGACTACTGTAGATTTCATATAGGAACTAGCACAAGGATCAAGAGTCTCATGAAGTTTCCAAATACTTTCAGCATGACCTGTCCTGAAGCAGAGTCTCGCAAGTGCCCTGCGCAGCTCCCATCCTGGGTTGCTGTTAAGGAACTTAGATTAGGCTACCACAATGGGTATTTATAATAATAAGAATAACGATAATAATGATAGTTAATATGGTCTTCCCAATATAGTAAGTTACCATGATAAGGAAACCCTCATATTTTGTATATACCCCAACCAAATATGGCAACTGACATTAAGTACATTGACAGCTGCCCAGCATCATGCGACATTCTATGCCGCCACGGGCGTTCAGGTACAGGAAGCTGCAACACATCTGGCAGGGTCGGAATCTTAAAGCCCCAAGTTCAAGTAGTTGCATCATGGGCATCTCGAAGAATTTCCACTGAATTGTGCCCTTTACTACCACGCACTATTCTGGCGCTCGGAAAGTAGCCCTTACTGAAGGATTAGCATGTTTCAATCTCAGCCCCGCCGTGTGTGGTCTGCCGTCCATCGTCTTGCGGTTCAAGCAGTAATTCCACTGAAATCTGCCGTTCTGGCACTGGCTGAGCACGTCTGTGATGCCATCTGCTTCAAAAGGACCGATGAAGCATTCGAACCCACGGTCTGTAGACTCTTCCACTGGGCACACACGCTGGTCAGTCTGAAAGCCAGTGAACTGGTTGACAATGTACTCCTGACAGCATGGTTTCTTGTTGGTTCATTGTCATTACGAGGTCGGCTGCTACGGCTACCACCACCACTGCGGTGATCAGCTTCTGCACCACTATTATCCTCAGTGGCAGCAGCAGCAGCACAAATGCTATTGACACAGCGTGAAACAGCTACAAAGAGTTGCTGCAACCATCATGACTGCCTCGCTCAACGTGCGAGGGCAATCACGTCCCAAATGATGCAAAGCGTAGCAGTTTCAAAAGAAAATGCATCTACAAAGCCTGCGCAAGCGCATGCGCACAATGATGCCCCACGAACTTTGCACCCTCCCCTAACCCAAAAAGGCACATAAAACGCAACAGCCACAATACCCCAGCCTCAACTTCTGCACCGCACCCGGGAACCCTGTACCCAAGGCCTCTGATATCTGGTTGCAGTTGCTCTGGTAGCACTCGTTAGTCAGGCGGCCTGTGGGTGCCCGCCTGCTGCATCAAAGAGCAATACCATGTTGTCAGATCATCATGAGTTCCCCTACAGACCCCCCTTAGCAACCTGTAGCTGGGTAGTATAGGCAGTGTAGGGAAGGTTGAAGGGTTTGGGGGGTTGGGGTTCAGGGTTCAGGGTTTGGGGTTTAGGGGTTTGGGGGTTCAGGGTGTAGGGGTTTTGGGTTTACGGTTTAGGTGAAAGGATGTAGGGTTTCGGGTTGAAAGGCTAGCAGAAATTCTCAGAGGGGTGTATAGGGATCCACACGGGCATCTTGGGAGATTTATGTAAGGGTTATATCGGGTTCTATATGGATTATATATGAGTATGCTGGGATACATAGGGGTTTTCCCATAATAACAACGAACCAAACGAAAAAGAAACTGGAAACTGAAATGGACACTGTGATATATCAGGTCATCAAAAAACAGTGGCGCAAAGCGCGTAGCCATGATAACGGTCATGATGGAAATCATTCGAAACTGATCAGAATCAGGGAGATTACAGCAAAAACCGAAACATCGTAAGAATCCGCTGTCAATCAACCCTAAACCCTATATTCTATACCCTAAACCGTAGGAGGCGAACCGACTTTCTCCAGTGTAGCAGGTACACATATTATACACCAATGCGTAAGACATAGTACATGATACATCCATCCATGCATGCACATACGCGTACACGTTTACTAAAAAGTTCACCTGTGCATACACATATGCAAACACACAGACACACATACATCATAGATGTACACATGCTGTTGTATGCCTGGAAATCTTGCTTATGCCTCATGGACACCCTACCCTGACCACACGGAACACCAAGCCCTAAACCCTAAACCCCTTAACCCTAAACCCCTGAACCCGGAACCCCTAAACCCCTAACACCCTAAACTTCTAAACCCCTACCCCATGCCTGGGAACCAAGGGATCGTAGATGGAACTCGCATCCAGAAGCAGGGGAGTCTGCTGTATCTGGTCCAGGATGGTCCGCAACTTGCCTTGCAACAGGGTTTAGGGTTTAGGGATTGGGATTTGAGGACTGGGGTTTAGGGATGAGCGACTGGGGTTTAGGAATTGGGATTAAGGATTGGGGTTTAGGGATTAGGGGTTGGGGTTTAGGGTTTAGGATTAGGGTTTCGGGTGTCGAAGTGACGTCATACTTCACCTTTTCAAAATCATAGGTTGTGTTTGGGGGCTTGCTATACCACTTATTTTCATATATTGGGGGTCACAGCGTGGACAGCTACCTAGGGACAAAGCCATACTTTGAGGAGTCTGTGCTGACCACCAGGTCCTGCTCCTATTCGCAGAATGACGAGGGGGCCGGAAGGGCGACCAATGATAGCAAGCAAGGGGGCAACCTGCCTAGAGACGCAGCCCCATCCTTTTCAGAATACCACACCTGTGCAGTTTGTGGATGTGCCGAATGCCAGGCAGTCTTTTCCCCAGTAGTTCAGGCCATTGACCTGAACGGGCAGGGGCAAAGTACACACCCCAAGCCATGGCCAACGGTTCAGGATTTGGGTACTCCAGCTGTACTTGTAGCAATCTGTATCAGCATAGTGGAAACAGAAGAACAAGAGGAGGTGATAGCATAAGACACTGGCCAAAATGCTACTGCCACTTGTAGACTCCTTCCGTGTGCGCAATGTACTGGAAGAAGGATACAATCTGCACGGCTTGCTTCTAGCAGGCAACATGAGAATCCACCAAAAAAAAACTATCAAGATCCCTACTCGACTTTCCCACGCTTAATTTGCACGCGCATGATGCCTGCACACTGCCTGCCCAGCATCTTGATCATCCCCATTGGGATGCCTGCTAGCTCTCACGGAATAATCTGCAGTACTTGGTACCTGCCTGAAAATCTTGCAGTTTACATTTTCTTGCCCATTCTCCCCTATACAATCCCAAAATAGCCCCTATGTTCCAAATTTCCCCATAAAACCCTACAGGCCTCTGCAACGCAGCAGGTGATGAAGGTGCAGTCCTCTTTGATACCAGATGGGCAGTAATCATCAAAGCTCTCCACACAGATCTGGCCTCAGAGGCAAGAACCGGGCTCTCAACGCGGGAATTTCCAAAGGCAGCACCAACATTACCATCGTACTCAAAGCGCGTCCCTACTGACTCTAACCTGTTGAACTAGCCCAGACGGGTATCTGTCAAAACTGATAAATACCGCCTATTACCATTCTTGAAACATGCCAAAGAAACATCAACTGTAACGAGTATTGACACTGCCTTGCAACCTGCCGTATCCCTGCGACTATCGACGCCCCTATGACTATTGATGCTTTCTGCACACAACGCAGGTACCAGGATCAAAAGACGACAATTACAGAAAGCGCATGAAAAGGAGTGCGTACATTGAGACAACACGGAACAACACGCAATGAAACAGATCAGCAAGTAAAAAAAAGGAACCCCTTGCTGCGCCTTCAGAAGAATGACTCCATGCACGCGCACTACTCTCCTAGCAAATGAAAAAAAAACTACAGAAATCTTCTACAACCCCTTACCTTCTGCTGTCTGTTCTCTTTCCTGGGGTCCCAGTACGTCAGAAGAGGAAATTTGAGCTATAGTCTAGACTCCTAGTATCCCCCTAAATAACCCCTAAAGTACTCCCTGGATACTTCCCTATATAACCCCCAGTTCTGGAGTTTAGGCCCCTAAACCCTTTATAATCAACCCAAAACCCAAAACCCTAAACCTATAGAATCCCCTTAAACTCCCACTTAAGTGGTAGTTTCCCTAAATAATGGGACCCCAATATAGACCCCAATATATTATAATCCTTATTATGGGGACCCTCAAAATGGTACCCCTAATTTTGGGAAACCCCCAAGTAGTTTAGACTATAGCTCCTGTGACCTTAACCCTAAACCCTAAACCCTAAACCCTAAACCACTTAAGCAGTTTAGACTATAGCTCCTGTGAGTCATGCGTGACAGCTGGTCAAGCTGCCATCCGAGCTTGTCGAGCTGCAGGACGAGCAATCCTTGCGCCTGCCAGTTTAGGGTTTAGGGTTTAGGGTTTAGGGGTTTAGGGTTTAGGGTTTAGGGTTTAGGGTTTAGGAGTTCAGGGTGTAGGGTTGAGGGTTTAGGCTTTAGGCATACACCCAAACTACCTTCATCATAGTCATCATAGTAGGGAGTAATAAAAACAAAAATATTCATGGTGGTAGTACTAGTAGTAGCAGCTATAGTATTACTAAAATGAAAACACCAAGAACAGTAATAGTAATAGTCAAAACCGCCGTAACAGTAAAACAAAACTGCTAACTATTTCTGGAACTGCTAACATCAAGTATCAACTCCCGCCACTCTCACAGGAACCACTAGCATGCAGGCCTAATTTTGAATTGGTAGAGCAGCGTCACACTGTGCTCAGTCGTGCAACCACTGCCTGCCTGAAGTTGTTCGAAGGGCAGGACTGCAGGCAAGTGATGCTGGGTCGCGGCGTTGTCTGCAATTGCACCGGGTAAGTTGGCGAGCAGTCGAAGTTGTCAAACTTGAACTGTTCGCCTCAGGATAGGAAAATCTCCACAGGACTCTCATGGGTAAACTCAACTGTGACATTCGGTGCCACGCAACACAAACATTCTCTACATGAGTGACTCAACATTTGTTGTGTCAACCTGCGGATGTACTGCTGAGCCAAGTCTATCAATCATGGTACTTGAACTTAAATGAAGAATCCGGCGTAGAGTTTACAAGACAGAGAAGATCAGCTGCCATTCATGGAAGAATACCTGCTGCCAGTCGACCGCAAGAAAGGGATTGTTTACATTGTATGAACCCTAAACCCTAAACTCCTAAACCCAATTCCGAAAAGCTGCATGCAAGGTTGTAGGAGCCCCCCTCGCCGTTGTCGCAGACACGGTCCCCGACGACTATCTCGGATCCAGCAAAGCATCGGCCCTGTCAGGACAGGCTGAGGCTTGTGGCTTAGGAATTCTGAATAATGCTGATATTAGCAATAATAATACAAGTAGTTAAAGTAATAAGTATAATAAAAAGCAGTAGTAGTAATGATACTAGTAATAATAATCATAGGTGCTTTAGGCTCAATGCTCCAGTTAGCTTCGACTGCCTCCAGCTTCAGGTCACGTAGGGTGGGGACAGTGATCGAGCCTGAACCCAACTGGCACGCTAAGATCTACTTAGCCATTGACATTCGAGTATATCCTTCGTCTTGTTTGGGTCGACCCTTTTCCATTACTCCTAGATAACACAAGAAACTAGTCTCCATTGTCTTTTCCATTATCCCTATGTAACGCCTATAGGATAATATTTTCCATTCTCTTTTCCATTATCCCTAAACCCTTAACCCTCTATAACACCATTATAGTTTGGGTACTGCCCCCCCCCCCAGTAACAGTCTATATTAGGGGTCCAATTAAGGGCTATAGATAACCATATTATACTTATTATCCAACTGTTACTGAGGGGGGGGGCAGTACCCAAATTATAGTAGTTTCCATTTTCTTTTCCAACAAACACGTCGGATCGAGCCTGGCAGTCCCTTGAGACAGACATGCCGTTGCCCCAGCTGAAACGCCTGGCAGAGCAGTGACTTTAGGGTTTAGGGGTTTAGGGTTTAGGGTATAGGGGAGCTGCTGCAATCAAAACGGGCTTACAACAAAGAAGCAGAATCATCATAGCTATTGTGAAGAGTAGTTATGGAATTACTTGGCACAAACAAATAAAAGAGGATTGACAAGTAAAATGAATATGAGCGTGGAAACAACTGAACAACTAATAATCTTAGCCCTGAATCATAAAGCAGCAGTGATCATAACGAGAAATCATGAACCATTGATCCAAACCCTAAAATCATGAAGCAGTGATGGGGCCCTAGACCCTTAACCCTAAACCCTAGGCAGTTTCGGCTCAGACAACTGCTGCCTTAGCTCACAATCATACTCGTTCTGCGTGAGACGGCCGGCGGTATCCCGCGCAAGGGAGAAGAAGTAGCCTTAGCCCACATTACCCCAAGAAGAAAAGAGGATCCTTTTTTCATAAATATAAGCAATCCCATACCCCAAAAAGTATAGAGGATCCCTAACATTGATCCAGTAGCCCCCAGTATCAAAGCCCGAGTAGAGCACCTGCAGCTCATGGATCTCATCATTGTGTTAGGTTTGGGATTCAGGGTTTAGGGTTTGGGGTTGAGGGTTCAGGGTTTTTTTTTTGCAACGCCCTTTCTCCGCACGCAGAGACTGTCCAGTCGGACT